TTTCCCGTCCCGTCCAATAGGAGAGTTGAGCCGACGGAGATGAGAAAGTGTAGATGCAAATGTCAATCGGTTCAAGACTTGCGAGACACCAGGTCTGGCCTGATTCGCCTTCTTTTGATCACCCCAATTCCCTGTTGCAAGGGAGTATTTGAGACCATCTGTGATTATTTGGCTTCGTATGGCTAACTCCAGATTGAAATCCTTGCCCTTATCAATGATCTTCTGGGCGTACAGCCGAATCTCCTTCGTCAAGTTTCTGAATAAACCACGAAACAGAAACGCTAGTAGCGGTCCAGCTAAATCTAACCGTTTGTTCCCGTAGTGATCTCTGTCATCTACATCTCGTCGTTTTAAAGCAGCTAGTAAGAGGCGATGCACCATGTAGCCCAAGAAATAAGCTTTACGAGTTTCACAAAAGTCGGACACACCAACATGAGGAAGCGTTTCCTTTTGTAGAATTTCCTTGGCGTACTTGATACGTTTTTCCTTGGTTACACCAGGTCTAGCTCCTCTCGATCCGATGAAGTTCAAAGCCACTTTTTGCTCTTGGATTACAAAAGCATCATCTAAGGAAGGTTTGATCATTTCACGCATCTCCGTATCGTCAAAGTCATATATGATATGCTCTAATATATCACGATCGGCCACGAATCCAAGGGCACGGAACACAATTAAAACAGGAATTTCTTGTTTGATGTAGGGTAATATCGCGACAATACGCTGGCCGACTGTTGCCCTTTTACTGCCATCTTTACCCCCACGCGCCATCATGTTAATCCACAGGGTACTTGCTGGTCGAGAACTGTGTTCCAAAACGGACCGAATTTCTGTTTTGAATGCATATTTACTATCCTTCTGACGAAAAACGTAAACTAAATGGATATAACGGAAAGGACAAAATTAAGCATACCAGTGTTTGTGGCCATTTTTTCTTGAGCAATCAAGACCTTTTCCGAACCATTGATAATGAAATAACCACCTGGGTCTAAGGGGCACTCATTCAGCTCTGCTAAGTCACGATCACTCATAACAGAGAGCATACAGTATGTAGAACTGATTTTGTCAGAAAATGCATACAAACATACCGTAACATTATGGGGATTTTTCCAATGAACTTCTTATCAAGCTGTTTTTCTTCTTCGCCGTCATCCCGAATGATCTTCTTCGTTACATCTACATATAAAGGTGCGGCGTACGTCAAGTTTCTTAACCGGGCATCGTTTGGAGTCATAGGAACAGAAGCACCATCTTTTTCCCAGTGAGTAGCTCTGCTGAGATATATTTGCTCAAACCGAAGTCTATATTGTACCTATGATGAGAGTAAGATTAAAGAGCTCTCAGAACATACAGGAGTTTCAAGGACACCACCGGTGTGCTGAGCCTCTGCTTGCAGCTCAATTGTTGGGGAATCCTCAACAATTTTTTGTATAGAAGTTTGAATAAACTCATCAAATGAATCCAGCTGCTGTCTGACTAGACCTTTCTCTTCGAAATAACTGCTGATGACTATCCAGCATGCCTCTTGCCACATATCAGGAGTGATTTCATTGTCTTCCTCGTCCGGATCGTCACCATACATTCCCCGATCGGGATTCCCCTCATCAAAATCTTCTAACTCCTCTTCGGGATAAAACGCATCTGAAAAGTAAGTGAAAGTGAAAAGGGAGTTAAATGAAACTAATATGAATTGTTTGATGCTCGTATTTTCATCTATCATTGTACATCTCTTGATAGTTGAACACGAATTTTCTTCAATCACGTCCTATCATATGATGCTTAATCCTATGCGGGAATCCTAACCTGGAGACAAGCACTTTAGTCATTGTTTTATTACACAAAAGGGGTAAACCTCAAAACCAATGATAAAATTAATGCAAGAGGGAACGACCGTGGGGGGAACATTCAGAAAAGTTGGGGTGGTGGTGGCGCAGTGGTTTAGTCGCTGTCAGACCCTGTGGTCCGAGTTTCCAGACCCACCACCGCCACTCAACTTTGGTGGTAGACAGCCTTGCTGTCCCCCGGTTTTATATTACGCCTGAGCTAGCGGGGCCTTATGTGTATCGTCACTTTAGGTCCCGGGGCTTAAATTGCCAGGTACCGTCTATGAGCAGCAGGTCTTCGTGACTTTGGGGTTCCACCCCGTCTGCTTTCCATCACACACCGGTGTATGTGATGGAGAATAGGATAAAGTGGCTGGAAATATGGAGTGTTCCACAATTTCAAATTCCTGGGGAAAAAGATGACTGGAAGATGGAATTATGACATCTGGGAACAGAAAACCAATAAGGGTAGGCGCCTAACTAAGAACGAGAGGGACGAGAAAAAGACAAGGGGAGGGGAACCGTTGAAGCGAGTTCAGAAGAGCAGAAACCAATGTAGTAACCAGAGAAAAGAGATAATGAAGCAACTTCCTGCTGATGGAGAAACGACTGGCCTGAGGTGACAGTCCGTGAGCACCGCCCGGTGTGATTGAATAGTGGGGTAATTAAGACTCATCGTCATCGTACAGCGAAATACAGTGAAGCGAACTTCACTAATCGCTGCCAAAATCGCAATGCATACAAGGTAAGTGGTAAAATTTAGAGAGGAAAGGAGTGGATCTATTTTGAGGGAGGGAGAAGGTGAATCACTATGGTCAACACACAGAGTACGCAATCGAACTCTGCATACATCCCGTTTCAAGCATTCTGACCTGATAAGAAACGACAATAAGAACGCCACTGTCATATTTTGGTTATCTTGTTTATACACCCTCTTATATTGCGTATTACATAAACCTCTCTCTTTCTATTACAGCTCATGTACCGGATTTATTAGTTGAGTAAAGCGTATAATTCCGACTCCGAGTCTTCTCCATTTCGCTCTCGTTTGCTTGATTCGTAAAACACAACAATTTACTCAACTAATAATGGACCGTTACCTTCGACCCGACAA